GTCAACTAATACCACTGCCACTTCATCAGTGACAGGAACGTTGCTACCGCGGAGTTCAGTAACAGGAAGTCTGTCAGCGTTAATAAATATTTTATAATTGTTTATTATATCTTGACGGATCGATTGCATTTGTGAGAAAACTTTTTCAATTTAAGGAAAACATCTTATTTATTGTTTACTGTGTTTTAAGTATAAATATATTATTATAGAACGTTTTTAACACACTAATATTTTTATTACTTTTTCTGAGATTTTATGGCGCCCTTGAACAAATTCGAACCTACATTTCAAACTAATAATCATAACTTTCGATAGAATTAACCAAATTTAATACAAAAAAAAATTAAATGTAACTTGAAGATACGCTTTATAATTTTCTTTCTTTAAAAAAAAGATGTTTACTTTAGATGTGATGCGTTTATAAACAAACAAACAGACAGACGGACAATTCTAAAAATTATAAAAATGTGCTTATTTAATTATTTTCATTTCCCTATAATGATTTTAGTGACAAATATTCTATACAATGTACCAGTCAGGTCATAAATTCTGTCACATGTTTAATATAAAATAATTGAAACAAGTTTATTCATTATGTAACCATTTATATACCAAAATGAACTTAACAAAACAGATTCTTATGACACTAAAGTTTATTCAAAATGACCTCCGTGATTTTGAATACAGGCCTTCAATCTGCGCGGCCAGTCGTCTATAGTCGGCTATATAGCACGAACGAGGTCCATGTCAATATCGGCGGCTGCCTTAATCAAGGATGTCATAGATAAGAGTGTATATACAGAAAAAGGATGTCTTGAGTGACTCCAAATTGGGATGAGGCTTTGAGCACGCCTTTTCCTCCAAGTGTTGCCATATCTTGTAATCTAACGGATTCAAATCTGGAATGGAGGAGGGCCAGTCTTCGTGCCGGATGAAGTCGATTTCACGCGCCGCCAGCCAGTCTTGTGTGCTCTTCGCTTTATGAGCTGGCGCCGAATCTTGTTGGAATACCCAGTGCCTGTTATTGAACATGGTATGAGAAACAGGTTCCACGAGGTTCGTCAGGACTGTATTTTGATACACAACTGCATTCGTTTTTACACCTTTCTCACAAAAATGTACCTCTGTTAAGCCCCAATAAGAAAGTCCCAACCATACCATGAGCGAGGATGGAAAATGACCTCGTTGGACACGCGGAATACGGTTGCTCGCTTCTTCACTACTGTGTGCGTACACCTTATCATTTTGTTTGTTGTAGCTCTCTTCTACGGTAAAAGTGTTTTCATCCGAAAAAAGAATTTCCCGATATTTTTTTCCCGCGTACCGCTTCAACAAAGCGCGGCATCTCTTCAGTCTCAGGTCCATTAGACGAGCATTCAAACGATGTCCTGTTTTTCTTCGATATGTTCGAAGCCCTAAGTCTTCATTTAACACCCTTTTCACCGTGGTTCTGCTTGACCCCATCTGAAGGGCCAACAGTTTCTGCTTACGTTTGGGATTTCTTTGAATTCGCGCCTTCACAGCTTTTATCACTGCTGGAGTCCTAACAGACCGAGGGCGACCACTTCTTGACCTGTCATCTACACTAGAGTCTTCATTGTATCGTTTGATGGTACGATAAACGAACCTTTTGGTTATATTCAAATTTTTCAGTATGTCAAAAATTTGAATTAGCGTGTAACCGCAACGATGCAACGCAATAACTCCAACACGGTCTTCTTTAAGCGTCCACTCCATATTTAAAAATGAGTAAAATTCTAAAAAGTATAGTTTTATTTTCATGAACAATTCGAAATTCGAATTCAATAAACTTTTTTGTGGCCAGCATTCTAAAAGAAAAGTTTTTACTGTGTGACAATACTTATGACCTGACCAGGCGTGTCACTTTGTAAAAATCTGAGGTATGGAAAATGGTGGCGCGATTTTCAAATTTGTTCGCATTACTCGTGGGGTATTAAGGTTTAAGAGTTTGCAGTGTATATACTCAACTTATTTATTGAACTATAAGATGTGGGGTATTGAGGTTTAAGGGCTTGCGATTTATTTATATGGGGTTTGTAGTAATATGCGATTTATTTCCTAATTTCAGCTATGGAATTCCATACCTTGAAAAACTTGAGGTATGGAGTGCTCCATACCTTCCATAGTGGAAGTGACACCCCTGGACCTGACTAGGTACAAAAACAGGCACAACACGTTATCACCATTTTTATTATAAGTATATATTTAAAGAGAGATGGCGCTGCTAACAGCAATCAATTCTAAAAATAAAAGAGGTTAATTGACGCGATTGGTAAATTATTATATATATAAAACATAAAAGAACTTATAAACCAGTGTTTGCATAGTAAGCAAAAAATAAAGTTTGATTCTCGCCGAAACCAACGCAATTGTTAATAGCTCTTTTAAAATTTGATTTACCACATAGAGTAGGTACTGGCGGTAAAGAATAAATGAGTTTGTCAACACGCCGTAGGGCAGCGAGTAATATAAAGATTAGCAGTAAATATGAAAACTCATCTACAGGAAAAACCACAACCCGCCTTTTTGAATTACATTTTCACCATACCGCCATCTATCGATGAAATTGGTTAACTATTTCACTTTAGATTTAGTGAATAAGGTTATAATATATTCTTGTATATTTTATTTAAGACGTTCTTTAATACTTTTGTATACTGCGTTTTAGATATAATTATATCATTATAGAACATTATTTTACCTAATATAATTATGATTTATGATATGGTATTAGTTTAAAATGCACTTGATGACTCAACCATCGCCACCGTTGAACAAATTCGTACCTATACTTCGTATACATACTTCAGAATATTTATCATAACTTTTGATGGAATGAATTAATTTTAATAAAATAAAGACACGAACATAAACTACAGAACAGTAACAGACAGAAAATTCTAAAAATGGTAGAAATGTATTTAGTTACTTATTTTTAGTACCTCTCAATCACTTTTATTATAAAAATATAAAATGTACAGACGTCTGCTTTTTACATTATTATTATATGTATAGAAGATATGGAACATTTTTTCTATTCAAGGGTCGGTTTGCGTAATAGCAAATCAACTTTAAGTGATATTTTTTTATTAGATTTATGTGTCTCCATCCCCTACCAACTAAACCGGTTTTTAGAAATGTGAAAAAGTTAAAAGGAAAACTATCACAGCCAAGTAGGCTTAACAAGTAAACGGGTAATAGTCGACCAACTTCAAAATTGCACTTAGATTAGTAAAAATTTCGTTACAATTCCATAGAATAAAATTGTTGAATTATAACTTTGTAATGTTATTAGTTATTAGTAATATTATGCATTACTATATATCATATACCATCCCGCGGTGTGAGTGATCCATGCCGGATGTGCAATTTACACAGCGCTCGGTTCGCTAAGCAGAGTGGGCCTGACGAAGTCACTCCCATTATGCTGAAGACGTGTGCTCCGGAGTTGGCACCGGTTTTAACGCGTCATTTCCGGTACTTCTACTCCCAAGGCGTAGTCCCGAATTCATGAAAGGCAGCTTTGGTCCACCCGATCCCTAAAAAAGGCGACCGCTCAGACTCGTACAGGCCTATCGCCATCACCTCCTTGTTCTCCAAGATAATGGAATCCATTATGAACTGCCAGCTCATGAGATATCTTGAGGATCATCAGCTGATATGTTACTACCATACGGTTTTCGTCGTGGTCGATCAGCTGGTGTTCTTCTGGTCTACCTGACTCATAGATGGGCGGAAGCAGTAGAGTCCAAGAAGGAGGCATTTGCCGTTAGTTTGGACATAGCGAAGGCCTTCGATCGGGTCTGGCACAAAGCGCTTCTTTAGAAGCTCCCTTCCTATGGGCTTCCCGAGAAATTGTGCAAATGGATAATCAGTTTCTTTGCTGATCGGAGCATCAAGGTCGTAGTAGACGGTGCATGCTCTGATTACAAGCCTATCAAAGCTGGTGTTCCACAAGGCTAAGTGCTATCACCAGAGCTGTTTCTCCTGCAAATCAATAATATGTTACAAACTGGTAACATTCATTGCTATGCAGACGACAGCACTGCTGATGCCTTATATACCGGCCGTGCCAATATTTCTCGGGAAAACGTTGCTGAGTACCGAGACAAACTTGTGTCTGAAGTCGAGTCTTTGCTGAACAAAGTTTCGGATTGGGGGCGATTAAATCTAGTCCAGTCCAATCCCCAGAAGACACAAGTTTACGCGTTTACCGCTAAAAAGAACCCAGAAGACAAGTTTGGGGTGCGAGATAGTATTTCATGCCGGCACATCGCTTGCAACTTTACAAAGCGCAAATTCGGCCTCACATGGAATACTGTTCTCATCTCTGGGTCCGGGCACCCCAGTGCCAGCTCCTTCCACTTGACGGCATCCAGCGCAGAGCGGTTCGAATCGTCGACGACCGAGTTCTTTCTGATCGGCTCGATTCACTGGCACTGCGTAGATGTTGCATCCCTTTGCATTTTCTATCGAGTCTACCACGGGTAGTGCTCTGAGGAATTGTTCGGATTAATTACAGCCGCCAAATTTCATAAACGCACATTGCGTGAAAAATTCACAATACCATACTCATCATCGGGATGCTTGGCGGTCCACCACTATGCGTTTTACTAGGAGTTTTCTTCCTCGTACTACTTTTCTGTGGAATTGTTTACCATCGGAGATTTTCCCGGACCGATACGTCTTAGGGACCTTCGAGAAAAGAGGTTACTCCTTTCTAAAAGGCCGGCAACGCACCTGGAATTCCTCTGGTGTTGCAGTTGTTCATTGGCGGCGGTAGTCACTTACCATCAGGTGAGCCGCATGCTCGTTTGCCCTCTTCTTTTATATAACGCGGATCTTACTTAATTTTTAATACCTTTAAAAAGTTAAAAATGATTTAAGAAGCCATGTATAGGTGCGTGTGTACATAATAAGTTTAGCATGGTTTTGACTTCGTCTGAGCGTAGAGGTTTTAAAAAAGGAAACAAATCCACACAGGTAATAAAATAATTTCATTTTATTCGTTCATATTTATACATAATATTTACAACCGCAGGTATAATCACTAACATTACGGAGTATTATTAACTTGCACCTAGTGTACATTACATTTTGTTGTATAGTTTTTACAGATAAAAAAGTCAAAGGTAAGGCACCTTAGGAAGCTTAGTGTATACAATAAGATTAGAATGTATTTACAGAGTAAGGCCCATAGTAATTGATATTTGTATAATTAGTCTGTGATATCGTGAGTACATGGTTATATTTAAAAAAAAACATTGTTGTCTAGTCTCGTATTTCGTAAGTATATCCGAGACATAAATAATAATAATATTTTAAAAGTAGATAATAAAGTAAAATACAAGATTTTTCATATTGTTTTTTTATAAGTAGAATTTTTAAATTGATTTAAAAATTGATTTTTAATCATTAGATAAAAGTTATCCATCAAATAAATTAAAACCTGACTGAATAGAATGTTGAAACAATTGAACTACGTTATTCGTGCAATTGTAATTTTTAATTTGTATATATTCTTTTTATCAGATTTTTTTAAAAATGTTACATAAATCACATGTTACTAGAACATTAATTTATTTACAACAAAAATTAAAAGTATGTTTGATTGTTTAAAAAAGTAAATTTACTTTTTAATATTTTGTTTAAAATTAAATTTGAATAAAATATTTTTATATCTTATTGTAGTGAAACGATTACAATTGATTTAAAGTAAAATAAAATTATCAGATTATAAAAGACTAGGTGACGTTATTTAGTAGCTTAATATACATGCATATTACAACAGGTAACAACTTAACAAAAATATATTTACAAATATAATATTTATATTAACGCTCATTTACATAAGTTGAAAAATGCATAATGCTTAGAGCTATGCCTTCATTAGTACATTCGCACATATTGTGAATATGTACTTTTTCTGGCACAAAAATATCCTGGTTTGTTCATGGGTATCAATTTTTTTATATTTAGATATTTGATACATTTTTCAAAATAGATATTTATGTTAAAAATAAATTCGTATCTTTATCAAAGAATTAGTCCAAAGAGCAACCTTTTTGTGACGTCATATTTCGTTGATCTCACAACCGTTTTGTTATAGAACATGATTAATAATTATGATATGATAATATTTAGAGGTATGATAACTATTTGCTATGTTCATGATGAATTGAAATTATTTGTAAAGTTTTAATGTTTGTTTGATTTTAAATAATTAAGAATGATAAATTTCGTTCACTTTCTTTTATAATATGCCTCATGGTGCGAACTAGGGGTGATAGATTTTACGCCGCTACCATTCGACGAGGAGCAGAGTCTGTTCTTTCGGCTTTGTCGCTCGTTTAGCATCGCCCGGGGGCCACGGGTAGGGTGGGCCTAGGGTTAGGTGGTCGAAGCCTACGGACGCGAGCGACTCAACGCCAAGAAAGTGAACGCAAGTAAGACGAAAGTGATGGTTTTTGAAAGGTAAGAAAGTAAAACGATATGTGAAATAAAAATATAAGGGGAGTTGGTTGAGCAAGTGGATGAGTATATTTATTGAAAATGGGCCAGATTAGTAGTACCCTTAACCGACGAGCATCTATGTGTAGGTAGGTATGGGTATGGATGTAAAGAAGACGAGTGAGGTGCGTCAAGATCGTGCCAAATGGAAGTCCGTAGTCTCTGCCTCCCCTCTGTCTTTTGTCATTTATAACAAACATGCATTATACGTATTTATTTCGATGGTGGATAAAAGAGGTGACAAACCCTAATAAATAGGTATATATGTGTCATTCCGTATAAATTAAAGAACTAAAATATTTTCTGTGATGTTATGGTAACATGGTTTCGCGTTCTGTCGTAAATAGATTTAAGGCTACACTCTCTTTAGAAAAAATTCTCATGATAGACAGGTTACATTTTACATATAACATAAAGGAACACAAAGCGCTTATGAAATTAAAATAATAATAATAATAATAATTAAAAAATACACTGTGCTTGATTTGGTATACCGCGAGCTGATCCGTGAAATGATGGATTCAACAATTCTGAGATCAATTTAACAAGATTCAATTTTTAAGGGCACTTTACACAACAAACTTTTTTGTAATTGATGTTTAATAAAAAAAATTGCCTTATATTTGTAATGTAATAAAATCACACCTTTTTTCTAATAAGAAAAAACAACTTATGCGATATCGTATGCCCCATTTTATACTAAATTCACAACACAGTTATAATTACATTACATTTCATATTTCTTATAAAACCATCATTCACTTGACTATTTATTTAGAATTATTTCCAATTAAAAAACGTTCGTATCCATCTACTTATTAATTTAAATTAAACATTGTAGAATAACAAAAAGCTGATCATCCGTTTGCGTTTTTTGCCTAATTAGCTAGGCGTCTTGGTGAACCATTTTTAAATTTTGTGTGGGTACTTAAAGAATGCATAGTTTTGTCTATGGTATTAGGTTTTTTTTTTAAATTGAGTCCTTATAAACATTTTTCAATAAATACCGCGCCACTCATTGAATTTGCTTTTGACTTTGATTTACAAATACATTTTATTACAGTAAAAGAAAAATATTTTTATATAATACAGTGTCACTGACAAAGACATAATAATATTATTTTGTCATGTTGTCTGTACTGTAAAACTCACCTTGATCTTTTCTTATTTTTAACCAACTTCTAAAATGACATGATTCCTTGTTGACTTGTACTATCATGTAACATAATATCTTTAAGTATCTGTACACTTTCGTGGTAGTTCTTCAAGTATTTAAAAATATTCGATGATAATCGAAGTTGATTTTTATTTTTTAAATAATCTAATAATTAATCGTGATTTTATTCCAACTTTTTAAATATATGTATTAACATATTCTAGTGATGTTTTTGTTTCGCCATTTGCTAATAGAATTGTAGCTAAACCTCATGTTCTGTACATCTTCCGTTTCTTAAATTTGCTTTACTTTAATTTTGATTTTTTCTAATAAATTAATCTCTTCATTCGTGGAAACCTATTAGAGCACTAATTACCTCACAGGATTTTTAGGGACTATGTGCATGGATGTATTTTGTTTTCACATAAGCCGATTAAAATAATGCATACATAGAATCTTAATTTTTTTATATTAAAAATAATTTTAGTATCCAATTATAAACTTCAAAACGCATTTTGTGTTTTTCTGTGATACAAAACCATCGATGTGTAAAGTTCTTACAAGTTATATTTAATAGCACAAAGTTATAATCTGTTTCAAAATCAGTCTTAGTAGAGTGCCTTGAAATGGCAACGCTTATAATTATCATATTAATGTAGATTATGTCGTTGAAGACAACTCGTTTTAGTGAAGTTATAATTGAGCTATATTAACGCCCTCTATTTCTATCAAATAAGACAGCTACAGTGCCATCTATCGAAATCTTAGAGCATACATAAGCCAAGTATGCTTATTCTTACTCTTAGCTTGCATATGTATACTTTAAGATCGAAATTCAATAATATAGCGCTCGCATTAACAAATGACAGAGCTCAAGACCACGAACTAAAAAGCCTCATATTCATACACACAATAAGTTCTAAAATAAGCAAGTCCATAAATAATCGTCACTTCACGGTACAGCTCGCCAAAGAGATTGCGCTTTCGTACAGCGGATTTACCGCTGGATATCACAGAGTTGCGTGGTTGGGGGTACATCGATTAATTGAGCCCTTTCAACGGCTACGAGGCAACCCCCCGACGTCACTAAGAGAGGCGCAGTAGAGTTCCCCACCCATACTTTCTTTACGTCCTCTGAACAGTGCTGAGCTGGAGACATGTATCCACCTCTGTAAAAAAAATACATAACTTTGATTAGGTTTATATATAGTTTGGTAGGTGAGGATTTCCGATAGCGTTAGAGATAGACAGAGACATGTATCTACCTCTGTAAAAAAAATACATAACTTTGATTAGGTTTATATATAGTTTGGTAGGTGAGGATTTCCGATAGCGTTAGAGATATTTTGGCGCCACAAACTTACGTGCACACAGACACTCCTCGACATAGCACTCGTGTTTTAAAAATATATATAAGTAAGGGTAAGAACACACAGACCCTCTCAGAAGTAAGAGGAGGTCTGTGCCCAACAGTGGTAAGTAATATAGAATTAAACTTTTTACTTTAGTGACAAGTGGCTCATATACATCTGTCCTCGATTAATAATCACAATATGTTTGCTTTGTCACCCTATAGTTTTTAGATGGAATGCCTTGGTACCACTAAAAAGGATCTCCGCTTACTGCCTAGGCGTCCGTCTTTTTTATAGAATAAGGTTGACAAACGAACACAAAGACGGTAAGTGGATGCTGTGACCCATAGACATTTACATCTATGAAATCTAAGAATCAAAACGCAGATACGTTGCAGCCTGAGAACTAAGATGGAATGCCCCATTTCCAGTAAAAAGGTTCTCCGGTGCTCTACTGTTACCATACGAAACACAGCAGCATGACACTGCTTTTTACGCTGATTTTGTGCGAGCGTGGTCCTTCTCCGGCCAAACCGACCCAGTCGTGCCGCATCCATCATACGCTGCACTGTGTCTCTATAAATATTTCTTCCAAGTCGTATATATTACACTTATACGACTCGCTGAATTTTTTGGTATTAAAGACAACATTGATCATCATCATCATTACAGCTCATCACAAGGCCACTGCTAATCATAGTACTCCCTCAAGGAACGTCACAAATCACGTTCCTGAACTACCTGCACCATCCACTTTCTGTATCCACTACGTCATCTCTCCCATATAGGCATTGGGCGCCCTAAACTTTGTTTACCAGTACGAGACGCCACTCGAAAACTTTTTCTCTCAACCAGTCGTCGATTCTCCGTGCTATATATCCGTTGGGCTAAGTCTGTTACTCTGGTTCTACTACGGATATTCTCATTACGAAGTCTATCACGCAGAGAAACTCCAAGTATATAGCCTTCTCCATAGCTTGCTGAGCGGTCTTGAGCCTCCCTTATACTCATCATAAAAGAGAATTTTCACTTCATAAAAGATATACTTTAAATTTGCAAGCACCGTCTTTCTTTTTTTTTTTAATAGTTTCGATTTACACTTAGCAGCTTTCTATTTTTGTTAGTAATCCTAAATGTGTGGTGTACTATATAATATTACACCTTCTCACGTACATATACGTACCTCAATTTTCTATCTGCGTGTAGCAGGGCATCAGCTCGAAGTAGCCGCACTGCAACTGCTACTAACAGGAACAGTATGAGGGCGCCGCAGACCGGCACCGCTATGGTGGCGGCTTTGAACCACACTTCACTACTGTACGTCGCCCCTCGCTCCGTCGCTACACCGTTTGGATCTGTAAAACAAAGATAGTGCTTCATGAACATATTATCCTTTCGTTATTAATACATAGTTAAATGTGAAAGTTTTTCTGTTGAAAGTCAATCAATCACGCTGAATTTGTCGGGATTTTAATGCAATTAGGCATATATGTCGTCGGATTGGTACGTAGTATACTTATTATAACGTTATGAAGTTTGAGGTGGATGTGATGGCAATGGGGGAGGGAGGGGGGGTTGAACATTGGCTCAATGAAGCGAGCGGGTAAGAGAGCTACGGTACGCACAACCTGAAACCCAAGAGGAAGGGGAAGGAGGATTGAGTTAATCCGCTGCTGACATGTTAGCTGGATCTCCTCGAACGGATACACCCCCTCTTGGCTAGCTGGACGGCGCGGGAGGTATATAATCTTCATTATAAGAACCCTAATGTAAAAGTGCTTGAATACACGTAGAACACACTAATGTACACCTGTACAACTGCCCTGTCCGTATTTGCGGGCGTCGACCCAAATCTACTGTGAGGGGCCAAAGCCCTGGAATAATTTTCAAGCGCCACACAGGCACTAAAGAGGGTAGACGGGTAGCAGCGAGTTAATATAATATGTATTGAACTCACGATAAATGTGTCTTCAAGTTTTAAGTTGGTAGGTTCTTTTTCTTAAACGTTACTCGCAGAGGGGCAAACAAACTAATACCTTATGGTAACTTATAGTACATCTGCACATGGACACCTACAGCTTTGAAAAAAAAAGAATTTAGATGCACTATTATCCCTGAGGAATGATGAAATGTTTAGCAGTCTTTAGTTATACTGGCACTCTTCTGTACACTTCAGATCAGAACATAGCAGTGCACACGTGGCAGAGCCATGCTGCAGCTATATTAGTTGTATAGTTGTAGCACGAATGAGTCGGCTCGACTGGGGAAGGACCACCCTCTCACAAAATACCAGAGTAAAATAGCAGCTTAACGCTGCTGTGTTTCGTATGGAGAGTGTAGAGAACCGGAGACCCCTTTTTATTGGAAAGGAGGCATTCCATCTTAGTCCTCACGGGTGATAAAGCATTTGCATTTTGATTCGCAATCGAGGATAGATGTAGATGTCTATGGGCCACAGCAACCACTTACCATCAGGTGGACTGTGTGCTCGTTTGTCACCCTTATACTACAAAAAAAACCAACGCAATATGCCAGCTTACCCAGATGGGATTCCTATGCACAAAACCTACAGTTTAAATGGTAGTTTTAAAAACGATTTCAAAGTAATGTTTAAATCAAGTAATATCGATTGCAAATGTCGAAATACAATCGCATGAATTATTTAGAACGCATAATAAGTTATCCTACACGCATGGGGCATTCGATCTCTATCGTTGTATTTAACAGCTATGGTATGAGTTCCCAGTATCGTCCCATTAAAGCTTGCATGTTCTAGGTACGATTGCTTGGTAAGTCTTTTATTAGGATGATATAGTTCTGCTAAATGCTTTCAGAGGCATTCTGTATAGTCAGCTTACGATAACAATGTGGCCTGATCGTGGTCAACCTTTTGTAGACATAGCGATTTGGAATGTACGACGTTTTGAACATTGTGGAGTAACTTTACCTAATTGTGATAATTATTAACAATATAATATTTCTAATCTAGAGTCTTATCTAGTTGTTTCTCTATTGGTTTGAGCAGTTTCGTAAATAACTGAGTTAAAAATTGAATGCTACAAAATATAATTTTTTAAAATAGGACAGGAACTTTTTTAAAACGGTTTTGGCGTAAAGGCTATGAGTAAATTGATCATTTGCATAACAAAGATATAATAAATATAGTGTAAACTCTATATAACGATACTCAGGGGACTGTACATATTTTGACGCTATAAAGAGTTGTCGTTAAATGGAACGAAGAAATATCTGTATTAGAAAAAGAAAAAGTTTATTTCAGACCAGTGTTAATAATTACATAAAAACAATTGTTATTTGAAAGCTATAGCGTATAATCTGTTATTTTCGGCTGACATCTTTTGCTGCACCAGTAATAGTGTTGTATTTTTTTACTTATTTTATTAATATCTTGTGATATTGAGTCATCTTGGTGATAAAGTACTTTTCCAATAATTTTGCTGCTTCAAGAGCTTCTTTAATGCTCGGCGGAGGCTTAGGCTCATCTTCTTCATCTCCTTGTACTTTTAAATATTTAATTGTTGTCATTATTGAGTGGGTGTAATGTTTTATAGTGTATCATTGTATGGAAGACAAGCTAAACCAACCAAAGCCGAGTGATTACGATGCTTTAGGGAATTTGTCGTTAAATCGAGTGAAACGACATGGAGTTTACACTGTATTATGAATGTGTAAAAATTTGAGAGAAATTGTTACATTTTACTAAAAATTTGTATGACAATTGCGGTTTGGCGGACGGAAAAGTTAAAAAAAAGTTGTGTGAAAAATTCGAAAATTTATTTTAAGTGAACAATTATAATTTACCATGTACTCAACGCCGAAGGAGAACAGCGTGAAGAAACTTCGTGTCTGAATAATATTTCAAGGACATATGAAGTCCGTCAACACGTTTTTGTTTTAATTACGTAATGGGCTAATTGAACCAAAACCCTTTCAGAAATATCAGGCGGCCTGGGCTTAAGAGGGGCCTGTGTAGCCTTTGGCTTCTTTTTTATTTGAATTAAATCATATGTGATGGTATTAAAATACATTAAAATGTTTATTTAGTTAAGAATTTTCACCTAAGTCCAAAGAACCTCTTGTCTTATAACACCGAAAAACAATGACAACAGGAACAAGAAACAGACTTTGTTAGGTCTGTTTATTGTTCATGTTGTTATATACGTTATTTTTAAATTTGTTGTTTTCTAAAATATTACATAGAAAACTAATAACTTTTATAAGACTAGGATAGCAGACAGAGAAAATTACACGGCTACCTTCGCTTTACAAAACTGCTTAGTTCGAGCGAAATCAAACAGGCCTATCTAGTGTACTTTCTAACTGGTTTCCTATTATATGAGAAGTTGAAGGACAAAGTTCCACGATGTAGATGTAGCTACCCTCATTAATAATTATAAATAATTATTATATAATTACAGTTTCGAATAAATAAGCTTGCTGTACATATTTTTATACTTTAGATTGAACTCTACTCGTTTTTTGTATTTTGGTGAATTTTTTGTAACACAAAATGACTTTTGATGAATTTTGACAGCTTGACACATGTTTTTTGTGTTTTAACTCTGCAGCGGCTGACGGAAATTTTAGTTTAGTTTTGTATTAGTGTTCTAGATTTTGTCAAATATACACTATAATATGAAGAATAAATCTAAACAAATAAATAAAATTGAAGTGTCTGTTTGTAATATTAAAATTACAGCTTTTTGCTAAATGCATATGAAAGTATATACGGCACTAATAAAAAAATACAATTTTTAAAGTCTTTGTCTGTCTGTCTGTTTGTTTGTTCCGGCTAATCTCCGAAACGGCTGGACCGATTTTGATGGGATTTTCACTGGCAGATAGCTGATGTCACAAGAAGTAACTTAGGCTACTTTTATTTTAGAAAAAGTATTAGGGTTCCGCGCAATAATATTAAAACTCCAAATAACACGCGGGCGAAGTCGCGGGGAATAGAGTTATTATAATATCAATAGATTTTATTAACAAATATATTAATATCATTTTTTTATTTTAATATATTATGCTTAGACCAACGAAGAAAGAGAGCGCTGCGTACATTTCAAGTGGCGACCGATACTAAGCCAAAACCATGCTCAGAATACGCACTCACGCACATATACGTGGTAGAGCCATGCTGCAGCTACAATAGTAATATAGTTGTAGCACGAATGGGTCGGCTCGACCGGGGAAGCACCACGCTCTCACTGAATACCAGCGTAAAATGGCAGCTTAACGCTGCTGTGTTTCGTATGGTGAGTGTAGAGAACCGGAGACCCTTTTTACTAGACAAGAGGCATTCCATCTTAGTCCTCACGGGTGACAACGCATCTGCATTTTAAGCCTTTATTGAGGATAGATGTAGATGTCTATGGGTCACAGTAATCACTTACCATCAGGTGGACTGTTTGCTCGTTTGTCACCCTATCCTATAAAAAAAAATATACCTATGCAATAAAATCGTTTGCAACCAGCAACATGGTTTAACGTGTGCTTTGTGTGCGTCCAGCAATGGAGTCTTACGTGCTGTTAATAAAGAAAGAAAAATGAAAATGAAACACACAAAGCTCCATCTAACTTTCTTTGTTGGTCTAAGGATATAGTATGGACGATATGATTAAATAAAATTATATAAGCGGGCACATTTAACTAGTATCTATGATGCAATCGCCAGTCGGAGGCTCGGAGGTACTTTTATAGTTTACATAGGCAGGCTGACTCACTGCGCTGTTTAAATTAGATAAGGAGAGCGCTGGAATAACAAGCAGCCCGCGGAAACATGACGTCTCGAGGAATTTAATATAAACTACATGTACGATGTTACTGTAGACTTGGTGTCAGTCATTGCGCTACTATACATAATATATATCACAATGCAATGGTAGGTACCAATACCATGTTATTCAAGGTTTATAAAGAATACATATCTATTTGTCATTCACTTTTTAGTCAAATAACAGTTCGGTATTTTGATTAGACAAATTAATATTTAAGATATAACAACACAGTTATCATAGCTTAATCGAGTATTTTTTATGTGTAAATTAGGCGAACGTTTGACCTCTTCTCTCCACCGCACCGTATCGTTTTAAATTTATTTGTTACACGTTATTTACAACGATGACATAAGGGCAAAAAGGATAGATAATTTAAATAATCAGTTAACTGTCTAACAACGATAGTTTTATGTTTTATACACAACAATTTTTGTTTATAACATACAAAATTTTGAAATGAAATTTATTATGAAATAATTTTAAGATTCTCTATTTTTAATACAGAATAGAATATTTTTATTTATATTAAATAAGTAAAATTTTTATTTACCACTTGTTCGAAAATTACGTTTGTTCTGGAAAGAACCAGAAAGAAACCTAGCGAGGTTATTAGATACTAGCTGTTCCCCGCGACTTCTCCCGCGTGTAATTTAGGGTTTTAATTATATCGCTCAGAACCCTAATTCTTTTTCTCAAATATAAGTAACCTAAGTTAGACTACTCCTTAGAACATCAGCTATCTGCCAGTGAAAGTCCCGTCGAATCGGTCCAGCCGTTTCGGAGATTAGCCGGAACAAACAGACAGACGAAAATTTTAAAAATATTGTTTTTGTTATAAGTACCGTATGTACATTCATATGCATTTAGTAAAAAGCTGTTATTATATTACAAACAGACACTTCAATTTTATTTATTTGTATAGAATATAGATAAAACTTTACAATTATCGTTATTATTCATATTATGTTTTTAAAAGCATCACAGCGCAGTTAAATGGCGGAATAACAATAATATAGTATGACAAAATAGTCTTTCATTCTTTCATGGGTTAATTTATTATTACGTTCCTTGATATCGTAATAATCTTTATTGTATGTTTATTTAATGCTTTTCTTTAGTTTTAGTGCACCCACAGTCATAAAAAACTTCTCGTTCAGTACACACAGTAATTTTTTCTTCACGTACGAGCAAAAGCATCGACTGCATAAAATATTTATATTGTTAAATGTTTTCGCTAAGTAAACTTGTGATTGTATCGAGACATTAAAAAGTCAATTAATTTTTTCACTACCCTTCAACTTGTTTACAGGTCGTGGGCAGTGCACGTAGTTTGTTTTATAGGTTCCTGGAATCGATTCTCGACGCAATTCAACTGAAATCGACCTAAGCGTTCGCCGAGTCATCTCTTATCGAGACTGTTTACGTAGGAGTTTTATTGTCAATTTCTTATTAGCTGATAAAATAAATAATGTGTAAAGAGACTCCTTTTGTTAGATAAATACTAATATGTGCACTAATATGTGTACGCTTTTAAATGTTGTGCATTGTAAACATTTTTTCCTTTAACACTATGTTTGACGTGCTAGAGTCAAACTGTAGCACAGTTGTTTATTGTAACAAGAGAGGATCGGCTCCACCAGGGAAGGAACACGCTTTCACAAAATGCCAGCGTAAAATAGTAGCGTAATGCTGCTGTGTTTCGTACGGTGAGTGTAGAGAACCGGAGACTCTTTTTACAGAAAACAATTTACTGATATATGACGGATAGATGCAGATGTCTATGGGCTTTAGCATCCACCTACTCATCAGGTGGACTGTGTGCTCATTTGTCACCCTTATTTTATGAAAAAAATTCACCATAACAAATAATATTGTTAGCAACTCAGGTAAAAAAATAAAGTAAATAAGTAAATGAAAACTGAAAACCAACAACATGACTACAGTGACCTTTTGCTAACAATAAATATTTTTTTAAATACTTTTATGTGATACACGGATACATTTATTTGCAAAATATTGTTTAAGTCATTAGTTAATATATAAAAAAAAATTAAAAATTTTTGAGGAAGTATAACCATTCGATTGCGATACAATTTACGAAATAAATAAATAAATAAAATACATATAAAACGGATATGCTACCGAATACGAATACTACCGAAAATATTACACAACTTTTGGACTCCGTCGCAGTCGGTTAAAAAGCTTTAAACCTTTGGAAACAATTACCTCGAACTCTGCTTAATTATCAATATAGATACAAATCGTGCAGTGACTAAGTTGTTTTTATCGTAATACTTCAGATAGAGGACAAAGCGTCGTTGGCGTCGTTGGCGTCGTCCCCGTTGCAAATTGCTTTAAATATCCTTATTGCAAAATAATACGGATCGTGTTCAAGTGTTGCTATTTACGAGGTCATTGCGTTGATAATGTTATTGCTACAGATATTTGTCGGAACTCTGTAGCGGTTGACGGAAATTTTAGTTTAGTTCGGTATTAGTGTTCTAGATTTTGTCAAATCCACACTATATGAAGAGTTAATAAGTTAGAGCAGGGATGCACGGACTCATTGAGACACGGGGCCACTCTGAAGGACTATGAGTGTCTGTGGGCTCCAGTGGCCACTGCATTCCACCGACGCCTGCGATTAACTTCAAGCGAAGAAGGCAACATGTCACCACTTACTAACCCGCAGCTTGTAAATTACCCTTCACATCGGAACCATACTATTGTCTATTGCCATTTGACGACAGAAATAGGTAATCAATTGAGAGTAGTACCACAGTACCAAGTAACAACCTTGACACGTGTGGGCGGAAAGAATCCCTACAACTTAACACACGCATTACACACCATAATACAAAAACTCAGAAAAATATTTTACGTGGTAGAGCCATGCTGCAACTATATTAGTAGTATAGTTGTAGCACAAATGGGTCGGCTCGACCGGGGAAGGACCACGCTCTCACAGAATACCAGCGTAAAGTAGCAGCTTAACGCTGCTGTGTTTCGTATGGTGAGTGTAGAAAACCGGAGACCCTTTTTACTGGTAAAGAGGCATTCCACCTTAGTCCTCACGGGTGACAACGCATCTGCATTTTGATCTGTAATAGAGGATAGATGTAGATGTCCATGGGACGCAGCAACCACTTACCATCAGGTGAACTGTGTGCTCGTCCACAAAAATCCTAAAGTAAAATCTACAACTATCCTATAAAGGCGAGTAGTTCTTGTGTATATATATATGTAATTGGTTACTTGCAAATGTCTCGTGAAATGTTGTATTTAGTTAATAATTTAATTTCTGATGATCTCTACCCAAATATAAAAGACTTTGCTGAAAATTCTGGCAATTGTTCCTATAAGCGGTGTGACATCAGAGAAATCATTTTCTACACTAAGGTGTGTAAAAACTTGGTTGAGAGCAAACATGTTAGGAGAGAGGCTGACAGGTTTAGCTCTTCTAAATATCCATCTAGAGATAACCCGATTTGCCAATAAAAATAGAAGACTTCCATTTGTTTTATAAGGTGTGCAATAAAATTATGTACTGTGCAATAAGGTCTAATTTACTCGACATAATTTATTATTAGTGACCGCCTCCGAAATTTCAGGCTGCGACCGCGCTTGGCAGTATATATTCAATTGGATAATTGACACTATATTCTTATACTTTACTTACTTTACTTATCTTCACGCACAAACCCTGACGGGGTAGCCAGAGAGAACAGATCACCAAGTGTCACGATCCTTACAAACCTCTTTCGCTTCTTTCAGATTCATTATCTTCTTCATGCATGCACGTCTAGGTATCCGAGTACTCTTGACCCTACCCTCTTCGAGCAATTTGCTCACATGGTCTTCGAAAGTTAGTCTCGGTCTACCTCGACACCTTTTAATATTAACTTTCGCGCAATATATTTTCTTCACCATTCGGTCTTCACTCATTCGCTCAACGTGCCCAAACCACCGAAGCACGCCCTTATTAATTTTTGTGATAAGTTCATCTTTCAAACCTGCCATATTGCGAATCTCTTCGTTTCGCTTTCGATCGGCCATGGTAACGCCGCACATTTTACGAAGAGATCGCATCTCCACTGCATTCAACTTACTTTTATGCTTCTTCTGGCATACCCAGGTTTCGCTGCCATATAACAAAGTCGGTACCAACACTGCGTTATGTATTGCAAGGCGTGCACTCTTCGCTACGCCTTGCCTTTTGACTAACGCAGTCAGGGCACCATTGACTTTGTTCCCGGCAGCGACACGCCTGTCCACATCTAAATCACATCTTCCATCCCGGCTAAAAGCACTCCCCAAGTATACAATTTCATTTACCTGTTCTAGACATTCCTGATTTACCCATATTTCACACTATATTCAATTGGATAATTGACAATTATATAAATATATAAATTAATAAATTATTGTATCATATAATTTGAATTTGCTGGTTTTAGCCCTTGTCACCAATTACAGTCGTTATCGGTAAAAACCGTAAACCGTAAGAAACACAGCTACTTTGCGATAGTTTTCTGTACGAGCTTGTCCCTTCTACGGTCGAGACGGTTCGTCCTACAGCCGTCGCTGTAGCGTGGCTCTACCACGTTGAAAATCTAAAATATCAACAATAAGTATTAAATAATATATTCCAATCCAAATACGTACCAAGATCATTGGTCATGTTTAATCTAGCCCTAGCCAGGGGACTATCCTCGTGGTTGCAGAGGTCTCTGAAGCAGCACAGCAGCAGCGAGTGTTCACCGGGTGGCGGCGAGCCAGGGGACGGACTGTTCTGACAGCGTGATAATGCCTCTTGCTCCCTGTAATGGAAATATTTTTATTGTTAGACAAGTATAAATAAATATCATAAAAATTATATACTGAATTGATTTCAAACACACACCTAAACCCTCTGAATTCAACGACTCTATGCTTATCTTAGCGGGTCGTCACTACATCTAATGGGGGCCCATCCTACAGGACTGTGTTTTATTTCAATACTTAGAGGAGGCCTATGTCCAGCAATGGATTTATAAAAGGCTGTGATGATGATGGTGATGGTGATGATGATGATGACACAACATACCATTTTTTCTAACATTCTCTTTCATTCATTCATTTGACACATGTCGTCTCGACTGGGGAAGGATCACGCTGGACAGCGGAAAATGCCGCTGTCTTTCGTAAGATGAGCGAAGAAACAGAAACTGTTCTAACTGGAAACGAGGTAGATGTTCCATCTTGGTCCTCACGAGTGGAAACGCATTTGCAATTTGTTTCATCCAGCATCCTTTTACCACTGGTGGACTGTGTGGTGGTTTGTCACGCTTACCTTGTTTAATATATAACTTTATGCTGTTGTGTTTCCAATGGTGGGAGAAATCGAAGATAAAATAAAATAGCTGTAAAAAGTAAATATTATATATACATACACTGCCATGTAATATTTATATCGCAATCTAATTTAATGTGGTGTTTGGAATTTGAAAAAAAAAAACTATTCTATTCTATTAAATACCATCAAACGAGTATGAGACCAATTAACAAATAATGTCTTTTAATATTGAAAATATGATAAATAATATAAAATAAATGTAAATATATTTCTGTTACTAAATATAATATCGAAATATATCAGATTTTTTTATGTTAATTTACGTGTTATCCGCAGAAGTTTTAACAAATATTAATTAATTATAATATAATTTTCTTTCTAAAACTTCATTTACCATAAAATACCAGTTATGTCGCATACCGTTTCAACATCGATTTTTTTTTAATTGGACAGTGTTTGGAAGATGTCAATCTAGCACTATCAATCGAAACATTATAACGGGTCATTAATTAATTTTGTTACTATAATTACCGTGTTACTGATAATCACTTTTAATGAAATTCTGCTCAGATAATTTGAAATCTACCTCCTCAGTTATAAGGTTGATTTTTTTGTATTAATAAGACCCAGGCGTGTTCCTATGTCGTAATTCTAACGATTCCCCGCCGACTACATCTCAATATTCCAGACGTTATGGTCTGTACGAGTGAAATTTCGTAAGAGGCCAAATGTTAACTGGTCGCCAATGACCGACCATTTGTTGCAATTACTGTATGAATATATAATAAACGGTGGCTATTAATTAAGCTTTCGACATAGTGCGGCGCTGTGCCATAAAATCTACTGTAGGTATACCGAAGCTGTTTACATTTCAACGTCAATAAATTACGTCTAGTTATGATAACGTATAGATTATGTACATGTAGTGATGTTAAGCTTTGGCTATAAGAATATATATTATAGTTATATAGATTATAGACATATAATTTAAAGAAAATTTAAAAACCATACACAATTTTCCGCAATCAACCAACCAAAAAAAAAATCAAATACAATCATACCTACAGTCAAAGGCCAAAGTCCAAGGAATTTAAGTGTCTGTGAATAAAAGGTGCGGCAGTACTTTTATAATCTTCATATCGGGACAGCTTCCAACAATATACAAGGCGCAAGTACTGACGAGCGTTTGGTGCTGCTGCCACGTATGGACAGGTGATACAATATGCCACCTAGTGGCCTTGACCTCAGTGGAGAGGATAGCAATATGGTTTATTGGTGAACTCGATTTAGTAAAAAAAATCATGTTGTTAATTTTGACCACAGGAGCAGAACTGTACTTTCTCTACTCCCGTACTCAGGTATCTACTGCAGTGAACCTTAGAGGTATTGGATCATTTAAACGGTTTTACGCCTTGCCAACTTGCCATGTACTGCCAACTTTTAGATATAATATTAACACTTTCGCTGTCCCGTGTACTAGAGATAGGTCATTGCTATTTCTATTAAATACTAGTAATGCTATTAAATATTCTTCTGGTTAGCTTAAAATGCTTGTGTTAGGAGTGGTTCACGACAGTAGTCGAATGGCGGATTCGAACCCACGACCTTTCGAGTTCGCGGTCCGCGTCCTGCCATTAGGCTACTGACGCGTCTTACTATTGGGCCTGAAAACCGGACTGTGAAAATGTTAAGACTGAATTTCAAGTTTCTTCTATCAATAAAACACATACATAAATAAATGTGTTATTGTGCACCCCATGTTTTAATGTAACATCTCCAGGAATGTTGTATACTTTTTATATGCAAGAGAATGCTATGCCTTTGCGGACCACGTCGAGTGATTTTAGGGAGCACCGGTTAAAAACCACTGTTCTACAGGATATGTTTTGGTGTTAGTCAAGAACTGCATGACTTAATTCATACCACCCACTATCATTAAAACAGACACATATATACTACCCTCCATTGGACTCCATCGCAATCGATAAAAAAATCCTAAAAATAAAAGCTAAGTCGGCTTGTAATAATAATAATAAAATAAAAAAAAAGAATAAAATAGTCGGTCGGTTCAGTGCGTAGAAAAATTAAGGCCTTCGGAATATTCTTTGCAGTTCTTCGAACTTCTGCTATTTACTTCTTATTAAAAGTTATCGTTTTACAATTGACGGAGATATTGCTTAACACACATACAAAAAAAAAACAGACTTGTACCTCCTAACCTCCTGATTTTTTGAAGTCGGCTAAAAACGATAGAGATATTTAATCTTTAAAATGTCATTACTAATACTTATCATGCTACCTCAACTTGTACTATAGCATTGTAAATCCGAGGAACAGAAGACGTAATGTGACTACGCGTGCTGACTACGAATCACTTTGTTTTTGTATTGCAAAGCGTCCAAGGCGCGTTCTCACGATGCACGCCGAATTTACATGAAATTGAAATTATCCGTGTACGTGAATCCTTGATAGACATAATGTATAACCGGCTTTAGAACTGTTCAATAGTCGCGTTATTGTTTCAACTGAAGGGATGACTAAAGATGCGACAGTGTGACCACGGTTAAAATATATTGCTTTTAAATATTTTCTTTAAGAAAACAACGTTGGCCTCCCAGTAGGACCTACCCTCTCAAACCCGTAACAATTATTTGTAGTTAGAAAATAAAAGCCGGCCGGTTAGAAAATACAAGTGCGAGTCGGACTCGCGCATGAAGGGTTCCGTACCATCGTAAAACACGTTTCTAGTAGGGAAGAACTCTTTAATTTTTAATTTATTTATATTTTTATTATTTGTTGTTACAGTGGACAACAGAAATACGCACTGAAAATTTCAACTGTCTACCTACTACGGATTATGAGGTACAGCCCGCTGACAGACAGACGGACGGACGGATAGCGGACGCTTAAGCAAGCGGTCAAATGCTCAAGGTCGTTCGCATGGAGTAGCCCCTTAATACCCTTTGGATACAATTTGGATACGGAACCTTAAGAAGTAAAGAAGCTGACAGCAGTGATCTAATAATAACAATATAAAATGGCACGTTTGTTACACTGTACTTCAAGCCGTGGAGACTTCGACAAGCACCTTAATACATTTGTACGAGTGTTTTATTGGTATTAGTGTCATACAATGTAACTATGTACTGGAACACTCCGGGGACCAAGACGAATCTATTATGAGGAAGCCTTATTGTACATCCAAATCCGACAATGTAGGTTAGAGACGGTCACAAAGAAACAAATAAACATGCAAACGTGTATTAAATACACAAATACATTCAAAAACATAATCCAAGGGTTTTACCAAGGGGTTTTAGTAAGTTAAAGTAATTAATCTATATATCTATATCTGTACTAATAAATAAAAATTAAGTGTCTGTTTGTAATGTAAAAATAACATATTTAGACCAAATGCATATGAAAGTATATACAGTACTTATAGCAAAAACACAGTTGTTAAAATGTTTGTCTGTTTGTCTGTTTGTTCTAGCTAATCTCCTAAATGACTGGTTCGATTTTGATGGGACTATCACTGGCAGATAGCTGATATTATAAGTAGTAACTTAGGCTACTTTTATTTTAGAAAAAGAATTAGGGCTACGCGCAAAATAAATAAAACCTATGAAATCAAATCGTAATAAATTACACGCAGGCGAAGTCGAGCGAACAGTTAGTTTTAAATAAGACGCTACTCCTGCTGCTGGTCCTCTAACAGATTTGGGCGAATTTTAATCACTATCTCAAGTTATAAACTAAGTGAATAACGCGGGATATATAGATTTTAGTACATTTTGAAACGTGGCCCGTTTATCATTAAATAGATCAGTGCAAAACTGCGAAACAGTTTTCGTAATACAGGAATAAATCTGTTCAGGTTGACAATCCACTTCACAAAGCTAACGCGCGCTTGTTTTCTCGTGGGAACAAAATTTTCAGTCGCTGCTTCTATTCCAAACATCCGATAGAATATTTTAATAATACGAACCGCTAGGTCCCCGAACCGAAACTATTGGTCTCGTGGAAAAACTTGGCATCCGTGTAATTCTTTATTTGTGAGTCCAAAACGTCGCATTCTCTATCTCGAAGTCTATGACAAATATGCGATCGGGGCAAAGGCAAAATATGAAAAAATAACTCTGTTCCTCTATGTTATTGGTTACTTATATAATGTACGGGCTAATATTATTACAAATATCTAGCTGTGCTCGAGAATTCGTTAGCATAGCATAGTATTTAACTCGGTTTGAAGCTTTATTAGGTAGCTAATTTGGATCTAATTTTATTTCTATTAAACGCACCACTATTACAAATTAAATAGTAATATAACTTGATTATACATACTTATAAATTATAAATCTAAATAAATGTTCATACTTATAAGGCGTAACTTTATTATAAACTAGCTGACTTCGTCCGCGTAGAATTTATTACGGTTGTATTTCATGGGTTTTATTTTTTCGCGCGGAACCCTAATTTTTTTTC